TGGTGGCCTTTGCTTTCTTAGGACCTCCACCATCAGAGCTTGCATGGCAAGTGCACCACCGTGATGGCAACTCGTCCAACAATCACTTGAACAACTTGGAGTACGTCACTCCCAGACAGAACATCCTCTATTCATATGCCAAAGGTTCCAGACGCACTGGTGGTCCTGCGCAATCGAAGCCGGTGATGTGGAGAGCTGTGGGGTCCCAAAGCTGGACCACCTCGCCGTCTATGACACATGCAGCACAGCAGGTCGGGACGGACACTTTTACTGTTTCAAAGGCGTGCCGGCATGGCAAATCTGCAAATGGCTTCGATTTTCAGCTGGTTGATTGCACTGAAAGCACAGTCTGGGTAGGAGAGGAGTGGCGACAAATGTATGACCCAATGTCGGGCACTGAAGTGCCTGGAAGGAGGGTGAGTTCACTTGGTCGAATACAATCTCAAAAGGGTTTGATATCAAAGGGGACCAAGATCAAGATCGGTTATTTCACGACAGAACTGTCATTGGCCTCGGGAAGACGTTCAGAATTAGTGCATCGGCTTGTGGCGTTTGCATTTTTAGGGTGGCCACCTTTGAGCCTAGACCGTAGCTATTGCCAAGTAAACCACAAGGATGGCGACAAGGGCAACAACGCAATTGAAAACCTGGAGTACGTCACCCCTGCTGAGAACCTGGCGCACTATCATGCCAATGCAAGCAGCCTTCCCCGACAAGGCAAGCCGGTGGAAAGCAGACGACATGATAGGAATGACAATAATGTTAATAATGATGCGTGGCAGTGGCATGGTTCTGCGTCTAGTGCTGCAAGAGCGCTTGGGCTGCACGCCTCCGCAATCTCCAGGTGCATCCGTGGCCACTGCCACCAGGCTGGGGGCTTCACGTTCCGGGCAGCCGAAGCAAAGATCACTATTTCTTATGCAGATGAGGAATGGCGCAAAGTTGACATTGAACCTCACCTTCAGGAGAGAGCTGGCAGAAAACATCAGCCATGCGACCGGGTTGTTCAGTTCCTCAATTGTTCAGGATGTGTTGTGGTGGTTGCAGTGAGTTGGTGAGTTTCAGGAAGCACCGTCATGTTTGCACGCACATCAACATGCACCAACTGGACGATTATCCTTCTCCAGCACCTTTGACCATGAACAGCTGAGTCAGGGGCTAAAGACGGCATAACTCAAAACACCACGCATATGCCCAGGCTGTATTTTTGCGACCCATGACGACCTTATGTACATGACAGACATTTTCATGACAAGCCTTGGTTGCCGGTACCTGTGAGACTTAAGACCACTGCCACTTGTCAGAAAGGTTTTTCCTCATCTTCCTGATGCCACTCGAGTTGTGCTCAATGAACCAATATTGCTAATTATGGATCCTCCCTTTGGTAGCAGAGACAAGGACAACCATTGGACCATTCAAGACGTATTTTTCGGTGCGATTGAAAACGATTTCAAGGAGCGGCAAAGTACAGATGATCTATATGATCGGCACTTCACTGCAATCCACAAGGGTTCCGCATGGTTCTCCACACGTCGAACTGCCGAGACCCGATCGGAGTGTTGCTGAGTCCGAGGATTCGTTCGGCGGCTGCACGCTGATTCTGGGCCGAAGAACCTGAATTGGCTGATGGCCGTGAACCAAATCGCCAATGCTTTAAGAACTATGTTTATAGTCAATCAAAGTCTGATTCTACTAGTCTTTTGACAGCTTTTGACATATGTTTTGTTTATAGTCTGGTAGAATCAGACTTTGATTTGATGCTGTGCAAAGAACCCGCAGCAGGCGCAGCGCACAAATGAACCGATTCGGTGCTTATAGATATCTTCGTGCGGTGTGTCGTGAAGATTCGTGCGAGAGGTTTAGCCCATGAGTTGAAAGACGTTAGTGTTGTGAGAAGTTTACTGTGGTTTTGGGATCCCCAGGAGGTCAGGCTGCTTTGACTGCTCACAAGCAACAACATTAATTATCCAGGAACGCGGTTTTCTTACGCCTTCTCGAACTGTGATGTGAACAAGTGGCAGTGGGCACCTTCGTTAGCCATTTCTTGATGCATTGTTTTGAGTGATGCAATCTTTTCTTGCTGTGGCTCAAACCATAGAAACCAGGCCGCATTGTGGCCTTGCCATTGTTTGACCATGCGTTGCATCTCAGTGTTCGCGCTCTTTGCAGTTGCCTCATCTATCCGGACGGTGGAGGATGTGCACCACAACTCTTCAGATGGACAACCTTGCCTCTGCACCAAGACTCCTTGGGACCAGCCCAGCGATTGCTGCGCCGCACGCTTTGAGTGCATGAACAGGAAGGGGCAGGGCAGATGCAAGCCCGCCATCACCAGATATCACAGGAAGTTGTCAGAAAAAGATGTTTGAATTTGAAGGATATGACCGCACTCAGTGTGCCGGCCAGGACGTCTACAATCGACATGTTTTTTGTGGGAAAAGACCATATGTTCACCTGGATGGTAGTGCCGATTGATGTTGCCAGCATCCAAACGGCAAGACTCTGCAAAGGATTAGAGCACGCTGAGCTCTACAGGCCATTGGAGTCTGCGGTGTTGGTTCAGATTTGTTTTTGGAAGATGGTTGTCGGTCGTCGATCCAGTTGGTTGTGCAACTTCACTGACTTATCCCAACTTTGAGAAGATCATCTACATAGCAGCAGGCCATAGGCATGCAACCAGATATAACTTGAGCAAGGGCCTGTTCGAAGGGGTGCGATTTCGGGGAATGCTTCCGCTGGCTGGATCCCAATCTCTCTGGCATGCACCTGCCACCGCGACCCCGCTGGGCGGCGCCTGCGGCGCGGCAGCGGCGCAAAACAGCCGTCAAAAGCAGCTGTGGCCTGTGTGGTGGGCACGGCGCGGTGGTTGTATCGAGTGTTGGGCGCTTTTTTTGGTGTGGAGGAATAGAAGGGGCCGTTCTAGGTGAATGAAGTGGACTTCCTGGATGTTGCAAGTCACCCAACAGTGTGAGTGGAGCTACTTTTATCAGAGCTGTTGAGAGGTGATGTCCATGTTCAAACACAAAAATCACTTTTCCTGGGGTGGGGGCCAAACAGTGGCTAAGTCGGACAACTCGATTGTGCCTACTCAAATGGCTATAAACTCAAATGGCTCGGGCAGGGAGGTCAACCTACCAGGCTTTGGGGATGCTTAGAGCCAGACATGTATCAGGACCTTCCAACAGGTGGTTTCTGGACCACCCTTCAAGCTCTAAGGAGCTTTTTATAGACACCCCTTGGAGGGTCCTGGTAGAGGTTTCCCACCATTTTCGGGATTTCCACCGCTCAACGTCTGATGTGCCAGGCGCAGCTCAGTCGCGCGACCAGTTTGCGGTCACGTCCTCTCCGTGTGGATGCCTGATGGACCGGAGGAGCCCGTCAAACGTGAAGAGATTTGTAGAGGTTTGATGGGGATCCAGGCAAATCCCACGGATGAAGTGGCTGATCACCAGTGTTTCCAAAGACTAAAACCTGCGACAAAAACCATCGACCGAACAAAAGCCTGGTTCCTTATTATTATAGTAACTCATGGGGTCTTTGAAATGAAATTACACATGGTTGGCGAGAGAGGGGTTCCAATCAACGAAGATGCAGCGAAGACGCATGCCATTCCAATGGGCATTGTAGAGGCTTCGCGCACATACTCACAATGTGCCGTGAGTGCCCACATCAGCCACGACTTGTTCCACTTTCGAAAGCTTAGGTTGGTGAGTTGAAGCATGTTGAAACCTTCAACTTGATTCGCTGGTTTTCCATGAATCTGAATCTCCATGACTGCAAAGAGAGCCGAACATTGGGGCGTGTCAGCAGCAACTCCGCAAGGAAGGATCCAACTAAGATGCTGAATTTGGGCATCATTGTCTCATCATGGGGTCGCTTCCTATGGATCGTTTGCAGAACCGGCCAGTCAAGTGACCTGGAGTCCTCTGAACTCGCAACTACCTGGATATCTGAGCAGACCTGTAGTGGTTTTCATCATGTTTCAGCCAGTGCCCAACTGCGAGCAAGTGCCCACATGGATGGTGCACAAGTGAGGATAACATATTACAACCACCCAGTATTCTCAAGAAAACGGGATCCTGGCCTAGCCCTGTTTCGATGATGGTTGGGGTGGGTGCCAGAGGCATTTGATCAACTTCTGCAGATATGGGCCAGGAGCGCTAGGGTATCAAGGGATGTTCTACCACGTTTTGCCTGTGGCTCACCTGATTACCAGGTTCTTTTCCATTTTGGGGGGCTTTCCGGAGTCGATATGGGGTTGCTTAGACTGGCCGTGGGTCAAGAGCTAGTCACTAGTCGCTGATAGGTGGACCTCCCGTAGGTCGTCTATTCTCCTCATGTTCGGTCCAATGAGGTTCCGGTTTTGCCCAGCCATCTTGAGCCCTTTGAAACCCATAGCTGGGACACCCATAGCTGTCGGTTCCAAGGCTAGCAGGTTCAGTTTCTCCAAGCACTCCTTCCCCAACCTTGTTCGGTGACCTGAGATGGTGGCGGGTTTGGCCAACCAGGGTGACCCACTCCAACATTTGCTGGTTTTGCCCTGCGAACACACCTGAAATAGAATATTGAATACACACCTTTTGACTTGGACCCTATATCCTTTTAAATGTATACACGAACCATCCCGCTGAGGATTTATACTAAAATGCTACTTGTCCTGAATGACCTGCACTGTATTCCCACTGCTTTGTGCTGGAAGAACCTCCCACTGCTCCGTGCCGTGCTGCGTTTCTCCGCTCCGCTGCGACCGTTCTCAAGGGCTGCGACCCGCCTTGTGGCCGAACCGCTCTTCACAGCCAATAACTACTACCAGCACCCGACTTCACAGGTGCTTCCTGGTGACAAAGAGAGGCAGGTTCACCACCTGTTACAGTAGGCTCTCCAAACAGCCGAACCTTGGAGGGTCCTGGTATAGAGCTTTTGTTGGCGAAGCTCCTTAGCCCGCTGGACGCGAATCCGAACCGATATGTTAAGTTTCCACCCAATTTCTCTCGGGCGCGATGATGATGGCTCTGGCGTTGGCTTTCCAGCTGAGTGCCGCCTTTGCCGTGTCCACCGGTGCGTCTTCGCCCTTGGTGGACACACCGGCTGGAACGTTGCGAGGGACGCTGGAGGGAGAGGCGCCTTGAGAGCAACGAGGAGTTCTTCGGGAGCTTCTTTTAGTTGAACATCAAAGACTCACCTTAACCCTTCTGCCTTTTGCTGCTTGGCGACTCATAGGAATAGGTATATATCCATGGTATTTCGACCGGCCGAGCCTGACTGAGTGACCTTTGTTTCGAACATATTTTAGGTGGTTGGTGGTCCAAACTAGAGGTCACAACTTTCTCTCTCTAGGTCTCTAGGTCGGTCAAAGTGGCACCCGGCATGGCCTCGCCCAGAAAAACCCACTCCAAACAGGTCGGTGTGGGGCATGCCGAAGTGTGGCAGGTCCGGTACTGCACAGAAGTGGTGAGAACGAAGAGAAACAAAAGGAACCTGAAAGGTTCCGCCTCCTCTAGACTTCCGCCAAGACCTACCAACATGCGTTTTTTCCATGTGGGAAGGTCTTGGTGGTCAAAAACCCTTTCCTCACATCCGCATGACCTTTGGCACGGCGCACGTGCTTCCATGAGGTCAGTCAGGTCGTTTGGTGTTTTTGAAATCCATCAGCCTGACGGTGTGTTGATCGAAACAGACAACCCGCTCTACTGAGCATCCACCCGGTCGTGCCCAGAAATCGCAGGGACTCCGCGCGTTCGGCCGCGCGGGCTTTCGGCGAAAGCCACGTGCAGGTGCACGTCTTCAAAGGCATTCCCTACGCCGAAGCGCCAGTGGGTGACCTGCGCTGGCGGCCGCCGGTGGCGGCCAAGCCATGGGATGGCGTGCGTGCCTTGGATGGGTGCAGCGGTCGCGGTTCCAAGCGCCAGAGACGCGAAGCCAGGGCGCTTTTTGGGTGGGAGATGGGATCGGGACCTTGGGAGAGGATGAAGGATGAAGGATGATTTGAGTTGCTTCAAATTGAACATCTTACGAAACGATGGTTGATTCCTTTCAATGGCTTGGTGATCCGGTCAGTTGCTTAACCTGTGTTCGGTGGGTTCGGGTTTTCTCTCCGGAACATGCTTGGATTACTTGTAACGAGTTCGGCGATGATGGCTTTTGGCTCCGGGTTGCGGGGGTCGATGGCACCTGTACACCCCCCGCCCTGAACATTGGACAGGAGTGGCCACATTGGGCCTGTTTTCTTCTTTTTTTCGCGATTTGAGCTCCCGCAGTTCCGTCAAGACGCTTTGTTCAACATGGTTTCTGGAACAAGCCCTCCTGTGTATCGATGACGAACTATGCGGACTGAACTGTGGAGCTGGCGGACTGGACGACAAGGCACGCGGTCGGCGGGACCTCGCGTGCCTTCACCGGACTGGCACACTGGCGGTGTGGTGCGGTCCAAAGTGGGGTCCCATGGGGTTCGGGCCAGGGGGGTCCTGATATATGATGGGGGTCCGGGTCCGGGACCCAAAATGGAGGAGGCTTTGAACTGGGCAGTTCTTTTCTTTTTTTGTGAGGTGCAGTGTATGAGGTGCAATTTGGTGTGGCAGTGTGTCAGTGTTAATTAGTTTGGTTGGCCAAGAAGCGTGTAGTGTTAGCCCCTCTAACTCAGGGTCGAGATTGGCTTGGGTGCCTTGACCGAAGAAATAGGATAGGTGTTGAATCCTCATGGCCGACGAAACTCAGGGCACGATTTTTTTTAATTCTAAGGGATTCTTCAAGTCCCCAGTGGATCCCAGCTTTAACTGCTATAACTAAGAGCCTAGAAGCATCTAGAATCTAGAAGCCCTATAGGTGATCTTGGTAGTTAGACACACCATCCTTTGTGCTTTTCCTGACCGGGACCGACCTCCTCCTTAGCTCCACCGTCCGTGGTGTGAGGTGATGCTTCGAGCTTTGGGAATTATTGCCTACAGAAGGAGGCGAGAAGACATCGGATCGGAGCAGCAGATGCCGCCGAAGAGCAGAGCCACTGCAGAGCCACTGCAGCCACGCAGAGCCACGAGAGAGTCAGACGACGACGTGAACAGTTTGTTGGGTCGGAACACCTGCAAAGGAGTATAGGTTTTGCATGGGCCATGCCTTTTCTTGGGATTTTTGGAGGTGTTGGGTAGAGGAAGAGACTCCGAATTCCAGGTGGCTTTTTTCTTGAAGTCACAAAACCACTCACGCACTCCAGCTCACCTGGTATTTGCTGCACCCAGAATGTGCCAGCTTCAGGAAGGATCTCCCGAATCGTTTGTCAGCCTTTCCGTCTCCAGACATGGGTTTTGCGAATCAGCTGATGTTTGATTTGCTACCTGGGTTGTCCCAGAAGGCTACCCTACACTGCTATAAGAGGTCAGGGATCTCATCAGCCAGGACACCCAGGTATGGGGCCAGGTAGGTTTGGGTCCCATCGGACAGCCAATCCCCGCAGGCCACCGGCATTTGGCATTTGCGCAGCCAGGCGCGGAGTCCTAGGCTTCCGCAGCGGCGGAATTCGGCTGCACAAATAGGCACCCAGCTGGGTGCGTTTTTTTCGGGCCAGTGAGGTCATCAAAGAACATCCGAAAATGAGTTGAAGGGACTATTGTCACATACCAGGGCCCCTAAGGCCCTAAGGGGTGTCCAAGAATAACTCCTTAGAGGTTCATGGGTGTCTTATTAACCACCCCAAACCGGGGCCCTGGTATAGGTCGATTTGGGGGTGAAGGTTTCTGCCAGATCTTTCAGGTGCCAGGTTCCCAAGTCTTGCTGACAGGCAGGATCTTGGCCTCTAGGGGTTCACCCTATAAATTAACACCCTAGGGAGAGCAGAAGCGACACTGGTGTCGGGGGTGTTTCTATTGAGAGAAGGTATGTTGATGCCAGCAGCATGCGTTAGAGAGTTGCTTGGACAAGAGCGTTATATAAGCCAATAGTTTTGATGTTTGGCCAAACATCCAGCGGAGGACATCTCTTTCCTGAGGAAAAATCACACACATACTTGTGGAAGGCCTTTTCATGGTCGAACGCACGGATTCATATCAAGTTGGTGCTAGAGTCTAGAGCTTGATAGTCCACTTGTTTTTCTTTCTCGTCTCTCCTTCGGCGGTTGCCAAGACCGTCCGCCACATGTTTGCATGCCGCATGGCGCGTGTTGGCGCATGCATCATCGTCGGTTCCTACGGAGCTATGGGGCATTTGTTCCACGAGCTGTCAGGGCTTGGATCCGGCAGTGCTCAGAGGTGTTCCGGCACGAACGTGAACCAAGTAAGCTCACCGAAACCGAGTCATGGACATGGTTTTCTTGGGTCCAAGACCCTGGCGAAGTGAAAGTTCCAACAAGCGCTTCTTCTGTGACTTTGCGTGGGTTCGTACTCATCCAGGCAAGCAACCTTAAAGTGTAACATTGAATCATCCCTACCCCCTTTAGGTAGAGGCCATATTCATGGTCCCCCCCGTAGGGATATTGAATCTACATTTCTCATAAAGAAGAGACCGACCGAAGAGAGATCCGAAACAAAGCGTCCTCGCCTCCTCCGAGGGTGGCAGTGAAGACTGTCTCTACTTGAATGTCTACGTCCCTCCCGATGTGCAGCCTAACGCCTCTCTTCCATGCCGGGAATGCTCAGATCGCAAGCAGAGTCGGGCGACGGGCTAGAGTTCTCACAGAGTTCTAACCCTACAGGTGAATGATCTCATTTTACTGGACCTGGTCATACAAAACCACTACTCAGGGAGGTAAGAGACCAGGTTTCACTGGGTCCTTGGACTTGTAGTGAAAGTAATTATTGTGGACATGCACATCATGGAATCATGGAATTCTACCGGGGAGTTTTTGTTGGGCCATTGTTGGGCCCGGTGGAGACCCGATACAGTCCGAAATGCTGCTGTGGGTGGGTACTGGTTCGACCAGAAGTTCTTGGATCGAACCATGGTCGCCCCGATGTGGGGCTGTCGAAGACTGGAAGCCGGGTTAGAAGGATGTGAGTCGTCTGTCTACTTTTTTTTCGTTCCCGAACCAATTGAGTGCCAGGGGCTGAAGAGGGCCTAGAAGGATGTGAGTAGTCTATAGACTCGCGCTTCACGCAGATGGTTTGGGGAGTACATGGTGGGGGCTTTTGCCTGGATGCTCTGATCTGGATATGAGGAAGAGGATGTGCCTTTTTCTGGCCTTGGCGATGGTACTTATAGACTGTAGAGCAAAGTCTGTGGTCTTCCTAAAAGACCATGTGGCCTTCCCGAAGATAGACACGTGATGACCCAAATTTATCCAAATTTCATCTCATCATCTGATGGTGACATGTTCCATTTACCAGAGCCTAGTAGCACCCGGAACGCGCGTGGCGTGGTCATTGGTTGAGACGCCATGTGGCGGAACCGCGCGTGGCCCCGGAACCAATCCGCGCACCTGGTTCAGACCGTGCCAGGTCTTGTGTGGATCCATGGGGGTGGCTTCGAGCTCGGTGCAGGACGCGGAAGGGCTGGGTTTCTTCGGTGCAGGAGGTGGAACTGGAATGCACTGCATGGCCGCGCATGGCCGCGCATGGCCGCGCATGGCGCATGCTTCAGAGAGAAGTGGGTCACGAGGTGCGCGAAAATCATCGCTGGAGAAACTGGTGGTTTCTGCAGCATTGCATGGAACATCCAACGGTCGACAGTCGACATTGTCGACGAACGGTGATGCGAGTGGAGGACAAGCTCGGACGAGCCACAAGGGAAGATCTGAAAAGACGCGCGTCTCCGGTTTTTTCTCCAAGAATCCCCGAAGGCAACGGTGACGTGAAAAACAACGCTGCCATCTTCGGGTAACCCGACGTCGTTGGGCAGCTTAGTTGTGACATCGTTTAGATGTGATGTGACCCTTGATATGCTTCTTGTTTCTAATAGCTTCTTGTTACTACTAGTAAGGCACCTGTTACTAGTAGCGATGCACTTGTTACTATATAATAGCTCCTTGATATTATAAGGAATAGGTGGGCATATCGAAATAAGTGTTGCAACTAGATGGCAGGTGCAGGATTCCAAAGGCTAATGTGGCAATACTCTGGAGATAGAGTTCTAAAATTTACTTTGCTGTCGCTGCGGCGTCAATGCATTGATTGGGCTATGCGTGAACCTAGGCACGTCAATGAGTGGTGAAACTTCAGCAATCTCTTGACGATTCTTCACGTGTCCCTGTATGAATCTGCATTCTTGTCTCCTGCAGTCAATTGCCACACATATGCACCCTGCGCACCCTGTCATCCTAAATCTGGTGACATGTGGAGTTTGGCTTCCATGTTCTCAAAACTAAAAGCATCCTGGAAACTCTGTCCCAACCAGAAACAGTTCTGGATGTTGCCCCCAGTCCCAGGCACTTCCTATAAAGGATCTCAAAAAGCCATATTTTCACAACCAAAACTGTTTCTGGTTGTTTGGGCTTCCAGAATCAATGTTGGGGTCTTCCAGGATAAACTTTGGGGTCGTTCTTGTTTGCCGATTGCTTGCGCCCTTTTTTTGCACAGCACCGCACCGCTGGCCCGGTGGGACCCAGCTCGTCCTGAGTGTCAGGGGCGCTGGTCGTCGAGTCGTTCGGCCTTTTGGCACCGAGAGCTTCGCAGGAGAGCTCTACAATGGAAGTGACCTGGTGAGCTTCTGGCGCACCCGAAGCTCGGATGGGCGAGGCGAGTATTCCATTAAAGGTCCCACACGAAGCTCGGTTCTATCTACTCTTACATTCCTATAGTAGATAGATATTTAATATAGTTTATCTTATACGTTATATACGTTCTTGTCTTTATACAATATTTGTTGTTTCAGTGGAACAGGTCAAGTTTGGGTTCCGAACGGGGAGTAGATACGTGAGGGGCAAGAATCATGGACCCTGCAAGGTTCCACCCGCCTAGTATACCTATAGAACCTGTTTGTGACCTCTATTTTGGACCACCACACTCCCACCCCAAATTTCGCCAAACTTCCTATCAAAACAGGGGTCAATTGGGTTCCAGGCATAGTTTCCAAACCCTCCATCTTAGCAGTTTAGGGTGCAAGGGTGGTTGTTTGGAGGTCCAGACACCAGTGATAACGGTGTCCAACCTCTCAGACCGTGTGGTGGGTCGTGGACACCAGTGGGTCGCGGCCACTGGGCCGCGGCCACGGACGCCCGACTGAACCATCGTTGGGGTCGCGCTTTTTCCAAGTAAAGGCTAGTAATGAGGAAGAAACATGTGTAGACATGCAACATACAACAACCGTATAGTGTATAGTGTAGACATGTGTAGACCACTTGCGTGTGTCGACCTGTGTGTGTCGTTCATCTCCGTCTCCGTCTACCCCAAGGCTCGGACCCCGTTCGCTTGGGTTTGAAGCCGACCGACTCCGACATGCAGCGATCCAGGAGTGCCGGGTAGGCACATGAGAACAAGACCTTCAGGGTTCATCCAAGTCGAGAAGAACCGAAGCAGCAGAGGTCCTGTCAACACCCATGACCCCCACATCGGAAGCTTTTCAGTGAAGCTTGTCGTGCGAACGTGCGCGACTTCACGGTCGAATCATGGCACATTTCTGCCATTCATCCCCAGTTCAGATCCGCCCGTGGGTTCAATGCCAAACGTTTTGGCGTAACCATATGCGGTACCTACCAGTGAAGTCGGTATACCACACCTCCACACCCCTTGCTTGCCGGTGTGTACAACAAGGTCGGGGGTGTCAGGTATGCGATGGTATGCGAAACCTCCCCCTGACCCGGCTCGCATCTTCAGGAAATGTCTCAGCCTTGGTGGTGACGCTGAACTATCGCCTCAATGTCTTTGGCTCCTCAAAGACAGACGGTCAGGGCCGGTGCACGTGGTCTCTCTCTCGGTTCCGAAAAACATCCAAAGGCGCTTGAAGATGCGGAAGTCGGCCAGTTTGGGCTTGTTTTGAGGAGGTTCTGAATGGTTCTGAATGGTCGCCCTGGAATAGGCCGAGAAGCACCCCTTCCGGTCGAACCGAGCACCTCGAACCAGTGTGGTGATGGAGAGCTCCCTGCAAGTCCAGTCTGACCCAGTAAAGCCTGGTCTTTTACATTCTTGTCTTGAATATTGCTTTTGTATGACCAACTCAAGTGAAATGAGGTCTTTGACTTGTAGGGATAGTATTGCACCATCTCCTTCACTGATTGCACACAAAGTCTTTAACCTTGTGACACTGGGACACACTTTATATAAGTGCGGAACCAGAACTGAGCTGTCTAGGAAGGATGTCAGAAAGGACTTTTTGTTGCCCTAAAAAGTCGGATTACTCAAAGAGTGAATCGCCAGGAACGAACTGCAAAAAAAAGGACGCGGACTTGTGTTGGGGGTTCCTTTCTGAACACCAAACACAGCAAACATCAGGATCCTTTGAAGGTGAAATCTGCTTCTGAAGGTTTGCACCTACCTTCCGAAGGGGTGAAGCGAACTGGAAGGGTTGTGTTTGGATCTGGAGTCAGACCGCGCTGCGGGCATGCGCCATACTGTAGCTTATATACTTCATGACCTTTCGAGTCCACCAATAGCGCTACAACCACAGCTGCTTGGAAACCCCACAGGCGAGCGGAACTCGTTCTCGCGCCGGCGCTCCGCTTCGCCGCTTCGCCCACGCGTGAACGGTCTGTCGCTGTTCGGAGGGGTTGGGGGACTGGTCGGTTCCACGACGTCGGTTCCGTCGCTTGACCTGGTTCCGAGGTCTGGTCGTTCGGTATGGCTGGTTTTGACCTACAGACATATAGTCCATGCAACAACCTGCAGCCGCATAGAAGCAACATGTTCCAACTTGCCGTAGCGCCGTTCGGTATCAGGGAAACACATGGAAACCTGCCCTGCCCTGCCTTGCCCTGCGAATAATGAGCACCCTGCCAGCGCCGCAGCCAAGGCTTCTTGGGCAGTGAGCTGTTGAGAGATAGAGATCCTTTGAGATCCACTGGAAACTACGGCATGCAGGCCATTTCTGTGCCAGTGGCGCTTTCGGTGGGGCAAATGGCGTAGTGACGTAGTGATTGTCTCAAGGGGTGGCGTTGCTCTGAGGGTAGGTGCCAACTTGCATTTGAAGCCGCCATTCACGAAGGGCTTCCCGGATCTTCCCGGCGAACGCCGCGTTCCCTTGGGTTCTTTAACCGGGTGACCCGGTCTTATCCAACAAGCAGTGTTTTGCAACTGCCAATATTCACAAGGTGCATGTGGAACATTCTATCAGGGAAATCATCGAAGATATAGAATTCATTTGCACTTCTTCATCCCCTTTCATCTTCCTTGCACCGCGCTCATCTTCCTTGCACCGCCCAGCCGCGGCCTCCCAGCCGATTCCCGCCGATTCCCTCCTCTCAAAAGTGGCTGCTCTGATGGGTCTGGGTGAATTCATCGGATGACTCATCTCCGCTGGTCCAGGTTTCTGTCGGGCGACGTTTCAATAGATCGACGCCTGGCTCGTTGTTTCGGGATGGAGGATCAGCGCATGGCTTTGCAATGGGTGCAGAAGAACATCGCGGCCTTTGGTGGTGATCCCAAGAAGGCAACGATCGTGGGGTAACAAAACTAGCAGAAGCGGAAGAAGCACGATGCAAGGTTTGTTGTTTGTTGATTTGAGAATACTTTGGTGAAAGAGCAAACCGGCTTGGAGCTCTTGGAAACATCCAGGTAGGAGAATTTCCGGGTATTCATCAATCAACAGTCTACAGGATTTGTTGCTTGTGGGGTTGGATTTCCCATCCAAAGGCGCAGTTGGTTTTGTTTTGGGGTGCCCTGTTTCTTGGTGGGAGGACATTTGAGGACATCATATTTATGCAATTCTTTTGCGCAGGAACCACGACTTGGCAAGGATCAACCGCTTTTTGGGCGTCGTGTTTTTCCATCACCGTGATTCTTTGAGGCTTTCAATTGGCTCGCGTACCGGAAATGAACGCGTTGTGGTGGGTGTTACTTGGTGGTGTTGCCGACGTCCCACCATTGAGTCCCACTGCAGGTGATGATCTTTGGGCAATCCGCCGGAGCTGGCAGTGTTACTGGACTGGCACTGAGATCCGGTGGGGGGCCTGTGGACCGGTACATTGAGACACCTTCGTCACAACCCTCGAAGAAGGAGACCAGTTGGAGCTTTTGCGACAAGTCTTCGGTAGCATTGGGTCACAGAAAGAACCACCACGTCAGACGCACAGCCCACGCAGCGAATCTGCGTGAGGCCGGTGGGTTCCATCTTCGTGTGGCTGAAAACTGGCCATGTGGAGGTGGTGAAATACAGGTTGAATAGTAGGATGGTGGGTCAGTCAAGGAAAGCAGGTTCAAATGATTGCTACACGCAACAGGCGTCTCGAAATGCCACAAAATGCATCCTTTTGACGATGTTGTTACTGTAGATGCCACGAAAGTGCCGACGGACTGCTAAAGAGTGGATGATACTCAATGTTCATCCTGTTTGACAATGGACTGCGAAACGATATCATAGAGCAACTTTGAGACATGCACCACTTGATTCAGGACAGTTCAGGAGTGTCTCTCTTGACAGATGGTAACATGAAAGGATATATCAAAGTTCCCTGAGCCTATGAGTACCAAAGGCGTTGGCCCCAAACATTTCTGAATTGATCTGAACATGTTCTGCGACCATGCCACCCTTTTAGTTGCAGCAACAATGTCCTGAGTTCCAATGCAATGCACCAGGGCCCCCGCAGGTGTATGTTTTCCAGGAATTCCGGCATGGTCCAGATGGAGGCCACAGAAACCATGTGAAATGGCAACATATGATTAATCATACTGAAGCATACCTATTTTGTTGATCCTCAAGCTGCTTCAAGTTGAATGTTTCAGATGCTGCAGCCCAGTTTCGCAACCCCACCGGGACCATCGGGGGGTCAACGATCTGCCATTGACGACCCGCGTGTGTGGTCCTTATAATGATGTGGCTAAGAAAGCAACGACCCAGCAACCCGCAGGTGTCAGTCCATGTTTTACCAACATGTTTGCGGCCCAGCTTCTGTTTGTTTCATTTGCGGCCCATCGTCCGCGCGTCCGCATGTGCTGCCCGTCCGCCACTCACTCACCTCACTCTCACTCACACTCTCTCTCTCTCTCTCACTCTCACTCACACCTTCAGAAGAGCCGAAGATAAATCAGTTTAAGCTTCCCACCCAATGCGAGTTCTATTTTGCACATCCCGTCCTTTGACGAAGTGGATTCGAGGCTCAAAGGCTCTCATCCTAGGTTTTTGGGTGTGGATCCTCTCACTCAGTCTGAGTCCATTGCAAACAGCCTTCATTACAAATATGTTCTGGGCTTGGACTTGAGCAAGATGGACAAGTCTGTGGCTCATACAAATACTGACAAATATGCGGGGGTTGAATCTTCATGCTTTGATGAGCTGTCCATTACCAATTTACAATGGGTACAGCAGTCGGTGCTACATGACTTCTCCTATTGCAACGCCTTGGGGTTCTGTGTACCGCACTAGCTACAGGCAGCTTCAATCCGGAGCTACAGGCAGGTTCAAAGGATTGAGTCTTTCTGGACGTGTCCTGGAGCTGTGACCTGTTCATTGGAACTGAAAAACAAGCAGGTTGGAGGAGACTCAGTATTGGGTGATTGGGTGACGATTTGTTCATTGTGCACCACGAGGAGCGCAAGGCTTCATTGGTGAGGTCCTTTGCCACTCCCTTTGCCAATGAAGATCAAGGGATCTGAGGTGCTTGACTGTCAACAATGGAACTGCTGATGATTTATTAAATTATTGGGCTATATACTCCAGACACGATCCATGGAACTGCCATAGGACTGCCGCCCCATTGACCCCTGGCACCACCCCAATTGATCGGCATATATGGCATACATGGAGTGTCTGGGTACTGTGGTTCCTGGCCAAAGCTTTTCTTGACGAAGATGATTTAATCTCTGGCTTGCTTCAGCCTGAAAGGCTTCCAAAGAACTGCTTTCCAAAGCTCGGAGCGTTACACCCGATGTCGCTTGCGTTTCTTCAAGGGATGCCCCTCAAAGCTCAGCTGTTGGATACTTGTGATCGTCGACCTCCAAGCGACTTTCGTTCGACTTGCTTCGACGATTTCAGGCATCAATTGAACTTTCCAATGAATTGTTATTAATGAAGAGATCGATGTACACCAAATGGACTAGCTGGTCCAGAAGCAGCAGAGAGGCAGAGAGCTAACAATTTTTCAGAGGCTGTCATGCCAAATGTGAGGATTACCATTACTATGTTACCATTTGAAGTTAAAGTTGCTATATGACAGAATCATTTAGGTCATTTGTTGTGAATGTAGCCTCTAATTACACTGTTTCCATCTACTTTTTGTGTTAACCCAGTTAAACTTCCAAGCATAAAATTAACACGATGGTGCTCACATTGCAAATTTGAAACATAACATCAGATTCTTTTCAGATCTGTGCAGACATCCGTTCGCATTTGGTTGGTTTTCCACCTTTCCACGCGCTGACTGGGGCAACTTTGCCCGCAGATTGTCGCGGTTTGATTTCATCCCCCCCTCGAAATGGTCCACGACTGGCGCCTCCATCGGCGGAGCGCGGTCGCGCGCTACGCCCAAGGTGTCTGTACAGCTGTCCATGCCGCGCTCGCGGGGTTTGTTCTCCTCAGCACTGATGGACCCCTGGCTGATCTAGCTGTGGGGTGGGACCTGCGTCGTGTGGATCGTGACCTGAGTTTGGTTTGTCGCATGGATTCTCAGGTCGTGAGACAGCCCCTACCTTACATCTAAGTACCCCCTAATGGAATCGTTGGATTATGCTGGTGTGTCTGGGTCGGACGCGAACGCAGTTGCAGACACTTCAAATCCCACTGCTCACAAGGAACACAGCCTTGGGCCTTTACTCGTTGAGTTGAACCCCCAGTTCCAATTGATTTCCAGGATACAAACACCGCCCACAACTATTTATTGATGTGTTTAAAATGAGGAATCCACATGGTGTCGACTTCTTAGAGGTGTACTATGGTGTACTATTACTTTTTTCTAGTGTATAGCACTTGCAGCAGTTCTTTTTGGGCTTAAGAAACTCCCGGAACCCAAGGAATCTGGAGGCTTCAGCGGTTGGGCTGGCCAGCCTATGCGCTACAGTGGCCTGGTGGCATGCCCACATTCGGGGTCCAAACTTTTTTTTTGTTTTTTCGTTTGTTCGATCATTTTCTTGTCGATTTCTGTTCATGTTTTCTTTTTTGGGATCAAATTAAGATAAAATTAACTGGGACGGCAACGCGACTCTGCTGCTGCTGAGTGCGTCGCTTTGAGCGGTCCGCTATAAAAGAAAAGTAACTGGAGTAATGTTGCCTGGTGGTAGATCATGCTTAGCACCCGCAGCTCAAGTGGAGCATAAGCAGGCAACAATTTGAGCTGCTGTTGGAATCGCTGACTTGGGGTTTGAGCCCTGAGCATTTTCATGGGGACGCACCCATGCATGGTGTCATATGGTGTCTTGGGTGGTGAGTAGTGGGCTACGACGCTACGAACGATGCCCCATACCATTGGGGTCCGAACGAAGCCATTTGTTCAGCACATTGTTTTTTCATCCGCAACCACTTGTGTGCATCACGCCTCGGACTGATGACGACGCACCTCTTCTGATGACCTCTTCTGTTTCTCCGTCACTCCATCACGACTCCGAAAAAAGACGCAGAATCACCCAACAGCACCGTGGAGAACCACACAGGAGTGATGAACCACAGCAGAACAAAAGAACATGTTTCTCCACGCAGAAGAAGAAACTGCAGGTGAGTTGTGGATCTCCCGCGTGATGAACCACAGCAGGCCCGCCGTGGCCGTCGAAACACGCCACGATCCAAAGACGCACGGCTTCGGCCGAAGGGCGGCGAAACGGTGGTTTTTGGTCGGTGACCTTTGTAATTAGCCCACCAACATCGAAAAGCACAGATACGATGAAATACCCTAGGGCTCCAAGTACCTTCTGAGAAGGTCTTTGCATGGTATTTTTTTGGGGGGTCCAAATATTTTTTAGGGGGGGTCCAAATACCTTCTAAGAAGGTACGACTGGGGCCCTAGGGTGGGGTTTTCAGTGACCGAGCGTTCTGAAGTAAACTTTTGTCCTTGCACCTTAAGGACTTCGGTTTACGAACTTCGGTGGCTACGCTAGGAAATGGGACCTGACCCCATTAAACAAACAGATGCATTGGGTGAATCAAGCTGGAAACAAGAGTTACCAAAGAGTCAACTCCAGATTCAAGCCTTTATACAAACACGGTTGAGACAGGTACCTTCTGGCTTAACTCCAGAGTTGACTCTTTGTGGCATATTGTAAACAGGTGAAGGTTCAATTCCGCATTTGATCTCACCTCTATTCATTGTTTGTTCATGTCCATCTCAGATGCGGAGTTCAGCTTTTTTATTCACATGTTTGTTGTGACTTGACTGTGAAGGTAACTCTTTAGTAAGTCTTTCAGGGGCTTCAATGCAGATTCAATAGGGTGCAAAGAATTGTTGAACTGGCTTCGCTTCAGAGTTAATTGCTTTGGTCGTTGTCTTTTGGTCAGCTTCACTCTAGAGCTAATTGGGCCAAAAACATTTGTGTTGCTCAACTTGACTTCAGATTTCACTCTGGCATAATACTGCGCTGGACATGTGGACCTGCTTTTATCTTTTGTTTGCAGCTTGGTACGCTTTCTTTGGCATGCTATGCTCTATCGAAGAGATAGGGCTTTAGAAGTTTCAGCAGAAGTTGTAGAGGCGCCAGAAGATGGCAGCAATGGGCCTGCAGTTGTAGATGAGGCACCTCTATAGAGGATGGCAATGTAGATGAGCTGTCAGAGCTCCTTTTGTTGCAGAAGCTGTGAGAAGGGAGGCGACAAAGCGCATGTTGAGTGCCCCGGATCCTACGTGTCATGGTCTCGCGCAAACAAGCGCCTGGAGCTGTACTTGCCGGGGTTGCCTAGCTTTGACAAAGCCAATGCCTTCTTGCATTGTCGTGGCGCTGGCGATTTGGAAGATTCCGCCTGCTCTGCACTTTAGTGAAGGGAGGGCGATGCTCCAGGCCAAGAATGAACAATTCGCATTTCTGCAAGCAGCACAGTCATGAATGCTGAAACAGGAACGGCAACAAGAATGCTTGCAAGCGATGGCAGGCTCGAGTGTGGTTTCATCATGAGCTTCAATGTAGAACTCCATCTTTGAAGCAAAGAAACAAAAATGGGTCGATTGTTATTTATGTCTTCCCTGCAACTGCTTTTAGCCAGAAACTAACTTGTGCTGCGCGCAGGATGCCGCGGGCCGGTACGAGAGAGAACAGTTGGAAATGGCCCTGCAGCTTTCCTTAGCCGAGAACGCTGAGGCAGCAAAGAGGCGATCAGAGAGTCGGGCTAAGCTGGCCCCTCGTTTGAAGGAACTCGGTTTGGAGGCCTTGGATACACACAATAGCTGACGGAAGCTGCCAGTTCGTCAGTCTTCGCTTCGCGGCGCGTATCCGTGTGGATTGAGCAGATTTCCGTTCCCAAGTTGTGAATTTCCTCCGGCAGTTGCTGCAGATGTTTGCTGATAACATCAGCGCCAAATTCACCAGCTTTGAGGCTTACCTGCAAAACATGAGCATGCCCTCGACTTGGGGTCCCTTCAATCGGCAGCTTGCTTGTCTCCTTTTGACACCAATACGTGTCCTCTCAGACTCCGAAGTTGAATCAGAACGTCTTTCCACCCCACCCTACCATTGCCCTAGAAGTTTGGGGACAAGGCATTGTAATATGCCACGTTGGCAGCAATCACTTTGAAGCAACAGCGCCTCTGGCTGAAAGCCGGGCCGACGTGAAGGCGGAGCCCAAACGGATTAAGGTGGAGCGATAGAAAGGAGCATAACTCCACATTTAAGACCCTTTCAGCTTTAGATCTTATATCGACTAGCTCAGATCTAGAGCCCATACTTTGCACATTCTCCACTCCACATCCAGGGTATCAACTTGGAAGTGAATCCAAACAGAAAAGTCTGGACCAACCAAGCCTCAGAAAAGGCTCAACTCCAGAGTTCGCCTCTTCTCAACTCTTGATTCTAGCCACGCCCTGCAGTGGGTACTTGTACTCATTTTCTGAGGTTCGAGTTGAGACTTCAGATGGACAGTTGATGAATCATCCCCCTCCCGTGAATGCAGAGCTTTGACTAAACCAGCTCCCGCATATGAAGAGGTTTTCCCATCCATGTCTGCGGGGAGCTTCAGTAATGAACCTTCTATATTAATGGACCAATGTTCCAATGTAGAATGTATGTAAACACGTAGTACATCCCTACCCCCTTGAGCTACTTCCGGGAGGGGGGACCTCAAAAAAGTAAGTTACATTTTAGGGTACCCTAGGGGGTCAAAAAATGTAAGTTACCACCCCCCAGGCACCATCGAAACTAGTCAAGGGGGGGGGAGGGGGGGGGAAAAAATGTAACTTGTTGCCTGGGACGTGCTTACTTACATTTTTCCAACCCCCCCCCTCGGGGGGTCGGCAGATCGAGGGGGGGGGGGTCTGGAAAATGTAACTTGGGACCTGGGAGGCCTGAAACACATCTTTTTTTACTCCCCCCCCCCCTAGGGTGCGTTGGCAGATCGAAGATACGCCAATCACTAAGAAATTATTTGCGGGTGGGAGTCACTTAATGAAATATTTTCTAAATAAGTAATTAACTAAAAGTATTATTTGGCAACTGTTTGCTGATGCCTCAACAAACACCAAGGAAAACATAGCCTCCAAAAATGCAGGACCAGGACACAAGCGAAAGGTGAGATTTGCAGACGTCAAAAATTGTAACTTACAATTAGTCCACGCATCCAAACCCTCAGATTTTACAGGGAATACATGGGTTCTGTGAGAAAGTTTGACCTCACAAATTGTAACTTACATTTTGGCCACATGCCCAACTCCCCAGAATTTACAAGGAACTGGGGTGTCCCCCTGAGGTACTTACATTTTAGCATACTGAAAAGCACACACGTCCGACCACACGAACCGCAAGCAGGGGGCAAGAAACCAGGGGATCAAACGGCGTTGAATATCCTTGTTCTCCTGCCCAATAGAACAGGCAGCCTCTCCTTTATTGTTCTCCATTATTGTTTATTGTGTATGGAGTGTGATCGTCTGTTATGTTTGGGTTTCGCTTTGTTGCCTTCCTTTGGGGTCTTCAGTGGGAACATGTATGTTCCTGTTTCTTGGCAGTTTGCTTTGGGTTTGCTTCCTGTTCTTCTTTGTTGATGATGACTCAGACCCACTGCTGTTCCCTCATCTGCTTTGTTTTTGTGTGGCTTGTTGCTGCAGAAGGAGTTGTGTATGGAGTTGTGTATGGAAGACCCCCCCGGCCAAAAAGAATTGTAACAAAACAACATATATATTTTATATATCTGTTTTTTCAGTTCAAAAATGCTAACGATGCAGCCGGCCGCGGGCAGCATCATTCAACTTGATGGCTGACGGCTGACATGTTTCGGCAGGCATTTCCTTGAAATGCCGCATTTGACCATGCGGGACGTGGTCGTGAGCAGAAATTAGTGTGGGGGTGTGGGGGGGTTCTAAAATTGTAAGCGCTCCTCTGTGCCTCAAAAATGTAACTTACATTTTTGAGGTCATTCCCCAGGAAATCACCAATGAGGCCTCAAAAATGTAAGTTACCTTTTGAGGCCACCTCAAAGTTAATGTAATTACATTTTTTGAGGCCCTGCGCGCAGGAAAATGTAACTTACAATTTTCGACGCCCCCCCTTCAGGATAGGGTAGGGATCGTAGTACCATTTCACTAACCAAATCTATATTAGCAATTTCCTATTTGGACTCTACTGTGGTAAAGAAAGGGGACTGGTCAGACCGGTTGCGGAGCGAATTTTGAAGAGATTCCCCTGTGGGTTCCTGGCCCATCTCCGTAGGTTCGGTGGTTATAAAGACCCCCAAAATAAACCCACCCCGGCTCCGTCCTCGAAACGGAGGTAGATGATGAACAAGAGATTGACTGACCTACTGCTTGGATTTTCCAACTGAGTATCAAAACCAGGCAAGCTATGTACATATAAACATTGTTGCACACATGGCTTACACAGTTGGAAGAGCCGATCGGTCTCCCGGCAACCCGGGGACGATCGGCCGAGCCCATGGTGCGAAGTAGTCGCCAACAAAGAGGGTACAGACTGGTCTATTTCCCGAACTGAACCCAGGAGTCGGAAGGCCGAAGGTCGGTCTCCTTAAGACTGAGCTACACATCCAATTTTGAACTACATTTGTATACACGATGATATACACATCTGTACTGTAGTTTCTTTGTAATAGGTTCTGGGTTTTTTGAGAGCGACAGAAAGTTGGTGCAAGAACAACACAGGCGACCTTAGCATCGCTCGCGAGCCTGCATCACTCGACAACAATAGTCCACCATTCACGGGCCTGTGAACACCACCAGATTTTGTAGAATATTTACATTTACGGATGTGTTTAAACAGTGTTTCTCTAGTACATCTTAGTAATTATCTTATCATACATTTCTTCAACAAGTCTCCGGGAATTTGCTTCGTTCCTCTGTTTCTTGTGTAGTTTCTACGCTGTCAGGTGTGCAAGCGTCTCCTGTTTGTTGCAGCTGCCGGCGGTCGAGCTGCGCGACGCGTATCTGGCGATCCCCAACGGACAGTCCGGGGAACTCAGTCGGTCGCTGGAGTGGACCTTTCGGGCGGTCAGCGGCGTGCTTTCCGGTCTGCCCGGTTTGCGAACAGGTCGGGTTGCTTACGGAAGGTCTACATCTTCAAGAGTCCAACAAAACATCAGGCCTGTTCACACATTTGTACATATTGTATAGTACATGTATATTATACGCACCAACTCACCAACCATCATTTGGTCACCCCATAATGTATGTGTTGCTGCAAGGATGGAGCCAAGTGTACATGACAAGCATGAGATCTTTATTCATGTCATACTCCTTTGACCATCAAAACGGCGGAGAACTCTTCCTTCAACAGTAGGGAGCCAGGAGATGCTTTGGCGCCGAATATTTCTGCTGAGATGTACATGTTTCACGCTCTTCCGATGAACGAAATTGGCGTGAAACAGGCGCAGATCAGACTGGTCAAGGCTCTCTGCAGCTCCCCAAGCGTTTTTGCCCGAGCCCCGCATACAAGTTATCCAACACCTTGAACTCAAACAAGACCTCACAGCAGATCCAGTCTATAGCTGGCAACCAATGGTTTCAGAAATATCCCAAAACTATAGATCAAACCCCGTTTGTTTATCAAAATCTATGGACACCCTGCTTCCCCATATTTATAGGGTTGCAGCTGGGATTCGCTGGGCAAGTTCTTAACCTTCCCCCATCGATCATGGAGATCCACTTTGTTACCACACATCCCTGCAGGCATCCCTTCTGAAGCACTGACACCTTACACTGCAGTGCACTGCAGGGCTGGACTTGCCAGGACTTGCAAGCATCGTGTCTTTACCCCCCCACACACTCCAAACGAAAGACTCAAAGCACCGCAAAAACATGCAAGAACACCTCCCCTTCCCCGGAAAAAACACAAACAAGAGACTTTTCCATCCAAGCAGAACAGCCCATCCAAGCACTGGCCCATTGGCCCAGCCCGGCCCGTGGCCCCACCACCCCCACGTTGTTTTTCTCCTTTGAACGGCGGCGCGAAGTGAGGTGTTGCAAGCAGCTCTTTGGAAACCCCATGATCCCATGGGCCCCCACGGTGGACAACGTGGAGCTCTTCGAACATCCCTTCGACCTGGCGCTGGAGCAGAAGGCGCTGAGCGGAGCCGAGCGTGATATGCGACGCACTTCTTCACCCATTGTTAGATTTTAAGCTTGTCCACTTGGGATCACTCAAAGTAAAGCACAATTTATTTGTTTCTTTGCGTTTTTGTTGGGTCGCGCTGCCTGTTGTTTTTGGGACCCTTTTTTGCGTGCTGTTGTGTGATATCTTTGATGTTCGCGCGGCGCTTCAAAAGGGTGACTGGGTGACTGGTTGTGAAAAAGTGCGTGATCTGACTGGACGATGAAGAAATATAAGAGATCAATCACGATCAATCAGGTGAAGTAAAACTGCTGGGATTTGAGGTTCTACTCTGGGACTCATTTCTCTTTTGAAACCAAGCATCTCTCAGATGCCCCGAACCTCGCGGGGAATGGCCACGATCAAACGCGGGCCACGCGCGGGCCGGGATGACCGATTGACCTGCATGGCTTTCGACACATCGAGATCCACGAATTCGATTGACACATTCAACCATTGAACACATCCAAATGTGTATCAACATAGACCCCCCCCAAGGACCCTCTGGAAGAATGAGGACCAAACCTCATTGGATCTGATCGGGGTTTGGGGGATCTTCCTCGTTCCCAATACACATCCCAAGTGTGTCCCAAATGTGTTGACACTGGGTGACCACCCTCAACTCATTGATCCCAGATATACTCCGAGTATCTTCCAATTTAGGTTGCTGCGTGAGATGAAATCCATGAGTTCCAGATGTACTTTGCAGCAACACTACTATCCCAGACACGACCCATGGGACTGCCGTATATGCCTACATTATCCTACATTGGGGTGGTGCCAGGGGGTCAATGGGGCGGCAGTCCTATGGCAGTCCCACACGGGTCGTGTCTGGGTATCCAGACGGTTCCGGCAGTCCGTTGAATCTGAACCCACGGAACGAGCCGAGCCCGAACTGAGCGGGATGAATCTGAGCCACGGTGACCACACTTCGGACCAGCGGCTTGGCCTCGTTGGTCTTGAGCAAGTTCCGGCTCGAGTCTGAGCCACGAGCCAGACCTGGCGCTGTTTTCAGATGCACATGCAGTTTCAGTGCCAGAATCGCCTCTTTTAAGAAAGGTCGACGGCATGGATGGATCTCCCTTCGACTTCCATCTCGCATGATGAAAAAGCGGGAAACCACATGATGAGATTTCCAAGACGATCTCTTTTCGAGATGATCCTTGGGCTGTGCAACTACCGGACAGACTCAGAAATCTGCGGACAGATGATAATGATGAAGCACCCATGATGAAAGCATGGATTGAGATGATTAGAGATGACTTGACTTGCTGACTATGACCAGTTCAAACAATGCCAGCTGCAGGTGTTCACCGCTCTCCACGCTTCAGCCTAGCTGAAGTGGTCGCTCCAAGTATGGTGTTCAGCCTCTCCTGTCGGGGGAAAACGACACATCAATCTGAAAACATTTGGACACCGTGGGTCTTGGGTCTCTCCTATTACCTGTAACAGTCAGTAAACAGTTGTCATCCTTTTCAAACAAGGCCTGCAACTGAACCATCATCCACTGGGCCCAGGTAATAGGATAGACCCAGTTTGGACACCCATGAATCGAATTCTACACTCCCAACCACTTCTAAAGGAACTGTTTTGGGGGGAAACTGGCTTTCGAGGAAAGACCCGTGCCACGTGCAGAGGAAACCGCCTTTTTGGAACTCGACCTGTTCACTTGGGGAAGACACGACGCTTTCAACCGCAGTGTGAGGGTACAGAGTGGTGGGAGAGAGATTGACATACCATATTACATATACCTGTACCCATCTTCCAAACTGCACCAACCTGTTTTTGCCTTTTTGATAATGGAACAACAAAACACAGCAGCAACAAAGGGCTCCATGGCTGGAAGATCCAGGTCTCCGGTCCCATCGGGTCCCCTCGGGTCTCCAGTCCAGCCTCTGCAGAGCTGGGCGCAGATTCATCGACGACGCAAACCGGAGCGCTGTAAGCCGGACGCTGTACACTGGACTGGGGGGACTCCCAGATGCGCCATCGATGCGCTTTTCTTCCCCCCGCATAAGCACCTTTGAACCAAAAGACCGAACGGCACGGTTCCTTTGCGTGTTGGTAGGTTCCTGATGTACCTTTGGTGCTTGGGACCAACACTGACGATGGCGCGGAGTTCTTCTCAGAGTTGAACCTTACCAGTGGCCTGGGCAGTCAGGGATACTCCATGCTGGGCCCATGAGTGTGTCGACAGCTTTGAACTGGGGTGAAACAGCTTGGTCCCCTAGTACTGTAGACGCTTGATGAAACAAACCCTCGCATTTTGATTGTAAGACCTTTTCCCATGGGGTGGGTTAGTAAGTCTTTTTATATATTGATAGGCTTCGCACACCGGCGATGCCCTCGGGCTCAAGCAGCAGGGGAGGGGGTGCATGTGGAAGCAGCCAGTTGGAGGCGCGCCCGGATGTGGACAGGTTAGTGTGTTGCGTATGACAGGTGGCTGCGAATTGTGGGAAGGCCAGCGAGCAGAGAACCACGAAGGTAAACACATAAAAGGACTTGCCATTGGAACCAGAACTTTGCCCAAAATAAACCAGCACTCAGGATTTGGAAGGACCTCATGTGGGTTGACCTCATGTGCACACAGCAGCTGCCGCCAATTCTTTTCAAGCGAGCCCCTGCTTGATCCATCCAGTCTATGAGTCTGGAGCTCAGCTCTTGGGAAGGGCTGCAACGGCCGCATTCGCACATTCCCTCGCCTGCCAGTGGGACCCAAACCCCAGTTCCCACACACAGACTTTCCAGACCAATCCAGCCTCCTCTTTGGACTTCCCAGCCCTTTTCGCCGCACGGTACACGCGGCTATACACATTGTTGGGATCCATCTTCAGGGTTTTCTCTTTCTTCTCAGTCTCAGACTCAGTGGATTTCTTCTCTTTCTTCTCAGACTCAGTGGACTTCTTTGGCCGAGCTTTTGCCCCGCACTTCGCTTGAGGGGGGGGCTTTGGGGCCTTTGGGGATGCCGTCTCTGAGTTCTTCTGGTCTCGAGTCCGTGCCATTGGTGTAGCTTGTCGCAGGAGCCTTCAAAAACAATTTGTTATATAAATCAGTCTGGTTTCCTTTTGGGCAAAGTTCTGATTCCAGTGTGCTTACAATGGTTTTTTATATAGACAGGCCTCTTGGGTAGTGGCGAATCTTCGATAATCTCCAAATTTTTCTTCAGTGGATCCTAATTCAAAAGCGGACATGTATGGATTCCAAACGACCGGTGACATAGTCTGTATATTGTATACATACCACGCAGCGTGTTTAAACAATAAATTGCTATGCAAGAAGCATTGTCCAACTTGGAGGGGTCACCATGATAGGTTGAAGACTTGGGCACCTCGGTTGGGGTATGGAAGCATCAACAGGTACAGTACATCAGCAGGTATTGTCACCAAAAGGTTCAGTGATCTTCTTAGTAAAGAACGGCAGCAGGGTTCAAACGATCCTCAGCAACTTGGCCAAGACCAGGAGATTCCAAAGTAGATCCATCCTGCAGACCACTCTGTCAGGAATACAGTTGTTCCATGAGACATGCCCCCAAAAGACTCTCCTGGGTATGTGGGCCGCTTTCAGGAGCATCGTGGTCCTGACTGCGTGTTCAAGTGTTCAATGTTTCTCAACATCGCCCGCAAGTGCTTCAAGCTCCTTCTCAAAAACAAACAAAGAAGGTCCAGAAAAAACAAACAAACTCCTTCTCAATCTCATTCTCCAACACATGGGCCCCACCGGTCTCAATCTCCAAACCACGATCCTGACAAATCAACCAGTGAGAAATCACTGCCCAGGCGAACGTTTCATGGCCGGAGCACCTTTGGCACCTTCATCGTGAGAGCGTTTGGGATCTCAGCCTGATGAAATCGCCCAGTGAGAGTTCACATGTTTTGCATGAAGTATGAAGTCATGGTAGGAAGTCATGACATTTGGACATGTTGGACATGACAGTTGGATAGGCAGCCATTGCACCTTCTCTTCCTCCATGCTCTTTTGGTTCTGGTCGGGCACCTCCATGGTCACCAGGTTCTCAATCTCCATGGCCATATCATGGTCCTGGTGCACAGAATGGGATGGATGTAAAGCAAAAATAAAACATAATAAGGTGTCAGTGTCTTACTCACTGTTATTATGTTGTGACATTATGCATGCAAGATTATCCAGTATTCTCAAGTCCCCACAAATCACACTGCTAAAAGTCATGGTAGAATCACTGTGACTGTGCGCAAGCGCGCTTGCCACTTCAGGTCGAAGCTACACCTGGGTACTACACTCCATGTTCAGGCGAGATGCTGGGAGAGCTGGGAGTTCAAGTGCTGGGGGTTCGAACGTGCGATGAAGGTTCGTTCAAGAAGGTTCATTCATGCGATGAAGTGGGAGTTTCAAGATTCATTGCTTCATAGTTTTTTTGGCCCAAGCCTCTTGACCTTTTGACTTTTTTCCCTTGCAGAGGGCGCCATGGAAGGTCAATGGGTTTGGGCATGGGTGCCGAAGCAGCCTGTGATGCCTGTCATGGCACCAAAGGGCAGGCCACCCAGCCAGATCTTAACAAGGCCACCCAGGCAGATCTTGACAAGGCCGCCAAGCTGAATCTTGACAAGGCCGACAAGGCCACAGACCTGAAGGCCACCCAGTCGAATCTTGACAAGGCCACGGACCTGAAGGCCACCAAGCCGAATCTTGACAAGGCCATGGACCTGAAGTCAGATGTGAAGCAGGGCAGCCCTTTTGATGTTGGCCCTGTGGCGACTGGATTTGTGGATCTTGGCCTCAAAGATCTTGGCAAGCCTGGCCACGCCGGCAGCTCCTTGAAGCCTGAGCCCAAGGTGATTCCGCCACGGTTCTCGAAGCCGGAGATCGCCATCCCCAAGAAGAGGAAGAGTCCCCACAAGCCATACATCCCCAAGAATGAGGAATTGGAAGAAGTCCATGTGGATCAGGATGAGGATTCTGACGATGTGATGGAGGTGCGATCCCAACCCGCCCCCAAGAAGATGCCAGTTGAGAAGGATGCAAAGGCTGCCAAGGCCTACAAGATCTTTGAGGAGCGCACCAAGAAGGTCGAGACAACAAAGACCAAGAGTGCCAGCTCCACCAAGACGGTGACGGAGACCGAGACCTCTTCAACCGCCCCTCAAACCTGGAAGGCCGATGAATGGTATGAAAACTGGTGGTGGTGGCCACAGGATTGGTCTGGAAGGCCATGGGAGAAGCTGGAGACTCAGGATTCTGCTGAGCCTGAGCTCAGGTGAACCGCCGGTCAAGCCGGTGAATTTTTCCTTGGGCACCTTTGCAAGACATGCAGGTGTGACGCGAGCTTGGACTTAACTTGAAGTGTGAAAATGCATCACTGCTGCTTTGGGGAGGTGGGTCAATGATTCATGCAAATATCAGGCACAAAAACATCGGGTGACTCATTTCTCATGACATGTTAATACGCAGTCCTTCCAGGCATAGACGTCCCCTTCACCCAGGTTGTTCATGAAGTTGACGTCCCCCTGCCATGGGTCATATGACATACTAGACTATTAATATCTATTAATAAACAGTCTAACATGCCGCAGAAAGAGACACAATGTGGCGAGTGGCGACCGACTGAAACCCCAGCCTCAAAGAATGTGTCCATGACAGCTTTGGTCTCGGCGTCAGAGGCGCGTTTCAAAGCCTCATCCAGCATGTTCTGGCTGACATTTCCCTCACCACCATCTTGGTCTCTGGGAGGGTCATCTTGGTCATTGGTCGTAGAGCTAACTGAACAGGCATCATGTTTCTTCCCTTTCGGCTTCTTGCCATGGCCTTTCCGGTCGCTTTTCTTACGGGTTTTGGTCTCTTTCTTTTCATTTTTCTCTTTCTTGCCAGTCCTCTTGGACCCTGTGGCAGGTGGCAAAGCATCATCGTCCTCGTCATCATTGCCCTTGCAGATACCAAGGCTGGTATGTTCGGAATCAGGCAATTCTTTTTTCTGTTTCTTCTTTGCAGCAGTTTTTTTTGGAAGCTGGTCGTTTTGAAGGACATGGTTCAGGTTCTTCTTCAGAGACGGCGTCCTCCTTCTGTTCACTCGAGTGTTGTTCTCCTGAAGAGGTCCCTGATTCCATATCACATCGTTGCAATATACCAGCTCCTACGAAGACATGTCAGTTAGTCATACTTTCCAGTACAATGAGGGGCCCCTCAACTTAAGAAAGTTATAACTATGTTAGCAGAGTTGTAACTTAGTTAGAAATAAGTTAGCAGAGTTACGCTTAAGTTAAGATTTAACTTACATATAAGTAAGTTATAACTTCGGTAACTTGTAAGCTGCTGAAAAAAGTGAATTTTGTATCGCGCTACACTTTTGAATGTGGACCTGAATGGTTTTTAGTTTTTAGTGTTTCGACCACTAAATTCTTTGTTGAAGCGCAATCCTTGAGGTCGTCCTCGGAACGCATTATATTTAATAGCTATGAGAAAAGTTCCTTTTACACAATTTTTGTTTGTAAATTTGGAAACATGTGTGTGTTGTGGGCGGGCGACCGCCGTTTCATGCGTGTGTGTGCGTGATCATATGCACCAAGTAAACATATGATAACATATGTCTATATAGTTTTTAAATGTATGTATATTTATACCCATACAAAATGTCTAATGTGTGTGCATGCACATAACCATATAGCGGGCTACCGCTACACCACTGCAAGCGCAAATGCGCCTTTTTCAAAACAAGCGCAGAACAGTTTCGCCGTCCAGGTGCCACCACACAGGTTGGTGTAGCTGTAGCAAATCTTTGATATTTTTAGCTACCCTACGATCTGTACGAACAAAAGTTCGAGAGAATGGAACACTAGTTTGGATCTCTCGCAAATTTTCAAGTACGCAAAACATTCCATCTGCTTCTTCTACGAAGAAGTGTACCCAACCGGCTTGACCATCGAAACAAATCACATCGTCAGATTGCACATGAGCCGCTTGGATCTGGAAGGCGTTGCTGATCCGGACACGTGTCAAACCAGTCGCAGCCTCGACGGCTTCAGCACCATGGATCTGGCCTGCCATCTTGTTCATCCAAGGGTGCTCTGCCAAGCTCCACGCTTGGCGATGCGACAACCTTGCCAGAATCTGCTTGCTGGATTGCCCTTGACGCGCTACAAACTGGGCGGAAAGGTCATCTGCAAGACTTGCCTTA